ATGCACACCCTCATGCACACTTACATTCCTCCTCCAAGCTCGGTCCTCTGGCTGACTGCCTCTATATCGTCATTCCACATGGTCACTCACGACCTTCCCATGTTATCCGCTCTTCGCCTCCGTAGAGTTCGCTGATCGCGCTTCATGCGATAGCGTCACGGGCCTTCGGAGGGTACTCGAGGGTGAGTACTACAAGATAGAGTCTCACCAGGGTTCAAGAAGGTTTTTGGGTTCCGCCGCTGAGAACAGATATTACACAGGCCCTTTGCTATCGACTTGAAGTGTGAATCACTCCGCAACCCATGTGAGTACTGCAAGATGAGGTCTCACCAGGGGTTCAAGAAGGTTTTTGGGTTCCGCCGCTGAGGACGGACGTTACACAGGGCACTTGCTGTCAAGTTGGAATCTAGATTAGCACTCGGAAACCAACGTGAGTACTGCAAGATGAGGTCTCACCAGGGTTCAAGAAGGTTTTTGGGTTCCGCCGCTGAGAACAGATACTACGCAGGGCCCCTTACCATCGCTCGACACAGATGGTGCTTTAAACGCAATGTGAGTACTGCAATGTAGAGTCTCACCAGGGTTCAAGATGGTTCCAAGCACCGCCGCTGAGAACAGACACTACTTTGTAACCTCGTCGGACCCTCCAACAGTACGTGTTGATCCTCGCACGCTCTGAAAGCAGGTCTTGATGTATCACATGATTAGCGAGTGACTGGCTGGACTGCCAGCTGCCGAATGTCATAGATGTGTTGTTTGGTGGTATGAGTTGCATGCTGTCCGTACGTTCCGTACGATACACCCCACGACCGCATAGCCTCTACATACTGTCGTGGATTCAGAATACAAAATTTTCGTCAGCCTCCTCGGTCGGGAGTACAAGCATGGCACGATAAGAGCCACGATGGACTCGCACAAGGGTGCCCCTCTGCTGAAATCCGAAAGCTGTCAATGTCTGTGGACATGTCAAGATTACGATTGCTTGACGTCATAGAAGCCAACTGTGCGTTGCAGTAGGAGACAGGGTGCGTGTTATAGGATACGAACGAGTAGGGCTACAGTCACCGATAGAGATGAAAGAGGGAGCGAGATAGAAATACATCATTAAGGAGCGGAATGTGGTCGGTCACCCGTACGACCACGACGAGAAGAGATGATACAATGGGTTAGCACGTACTACGGTCCCTTATGCGGACACCAATGCGCTGTTGCACCTTCAGTAAGCTTCTCCGGGAGTGATGTACCACTGGTTCCACGTCGTCTTGATCGGCGGCGGTGTGCGAAGCCGGCGCGGGGCCCTGTGATCGTATGTCGGCTTCGCAGGTTGTACCAGAGGCTGCGGCATAGCGACCCGGCGGCGATCGCGTTCGCCAGGCTTGTGCGCCCACATTTCGGGGGGCGAGCCGTGCTGCACCGCAACTATCCTCGCAGAGAAGTTCTCGTTGGGAGCTGGGAAGGCGAAAGGGCGGAAGGGTCGGGGCGGCGGTCGCACCAGAGGACGGTTGAGCCAATGGTCATCGTAGGTGCCGTTCCAGTTGCTTTTGTCGACCTGGGAGAACAGCGGCCATTCTGTGGACAGCTGGTGAGGACTCGTGCTCGGACAGGCTGTCGGGTGGCCGGGTCCGGAGAGCGGCACTCACCGATGGCGTTGGTGAGCACGGAAGGTATGAGGAGCAAGGCAGAAGCCAGGATGGGGTTCGATACTCCGAGAGCGGCGAAGTCCGTTGGTAAGCTTCCGGGACGGTCGACGTCGCTAGGAGCGATTTGGAAGGCTATGAACGCGAGTTTGACTGTCGAGGATGGCACCAGAAGAAAAGTCAGTAGACGACCACGGCCTAAGTCGTGCGGACTGCGCTCACTCATGTCCCACATAGCGGCCCACATCAAGCTCCAGCCGTCCCATTCATCGTGTAGCTTCCTTATATGAGCGCCGCCCATCCTGTTACGGTAGTAGATGTAGACGGCCATGCTGATAGGTGTGGTTAGGGCTAGCACTTGCGAGTCTACGGTTGTGATACATACCGCGCAAGAAGCATGAGGCTAATGGCCGCTTCAACGATCCAAATAGACATCATCCCGACTGACAGAGAGACATCAGGCTGGTATGTTCACTGACGACGGAGAGTTGACTGGATGTGCTTACCCTGACTCCGGTGGTTGATCCAGAAGAAGAGAAATACCGCCCCATTAGCGACATGCACGACGAGCAGTGCAATCCCTAGGATCTGATCTTGAGCCCAGTCCTTGCAATGCAGGTGAAGGCACTCACATACGAAGAACTTGATCGAGAAGTAGAAGATAGACATTCTTGCGTGCTGGATTGACCACAGAGGCGCCGCCCGAGTTCGGTGTGGTCTTGTACGGATCAGCGCTCTGCGCCTTCGTCTTGCAGCAAGAACGGGTGTACCAGGGAGGATAGAAGGACACTAGAGAAAGTAGGGCGGGCTGTATATAACGGCAGACGCTTGCGCCACCAGGCCGCCCACAAAGCAACCGTGGCGTCCCCATAAAAGAGCTCCGTGACGCAAAGCAATGTGATACCACTGGCGTTTGCAGCGAAGCAAAGGCGCCTGCAGTCGAGCGGTGAAAGGATCTTGCTGCCTGGCCTACGCACCATTCAGCCGTGGCGTGGCGGGCTCCAAAGAGAAGCCCTACTTACAAAGCGGTATGGCCAGCAATTGGGGCGCGAGCCGTGAAAGCGGTGTGCGGGCATGAGTTGCATGGAAATGCAAGAACGCGTGCGCGCTGGTCACAGCGGGGCTGGACAAAGCTGCCGCAAGACGTCTGCGCATGGGTCTCCTCAGTAACTCATATAAGCGAGGACCAGTTCCGAGAGTGTGACAATGCTTACAGCGCTCACCGGTCAGTACCGACGTCCGGGATGGCTATGGAGGCCAGACAAGGCTTATGAGAGGAGCGTGGCCCTGGCCCCAGTGCCATGCGGCAGCCTGGAAGTCGGGATGTTAGGTGGATTGACTCCAACAAATGCCTCCGTTATGTAATGCAGATTCGGAGAGGTCGCTGAATCGACTTGGGTGCTGTCAGACCAGGATACCACGACGAGCACGGAGGAGGATGCAAAGATCGCGATGGTACTCACTGTACGGCTATATTACTGTGGCTAAATTGACGGCATACTGGTTGGTAGGCTAACGTCCACGGCTCACAAGATGATACCATGCTGCTCTGTTTACAGAAACCATGGCTGGCACACTCCGGAAGATTGTTTGGGTTTGGAGTGCGTAGTGCCCAGATGGGCCGACCCGGAACGACTTCGTACTGCAAGTGTTGTAGACGCCAACTCATGTTGACCGGTTCCAACGAAAGGCAAATAATAGGCGCACTTGACGAGCAAGAGGCTCCCTCACGGGAGTAACTTGAGGCTAGCAGTCCTCTTCTCTTGCCGCAGAAGATGTATCATACTCAAAAGCGACCCGACACATTAGAGCTACTATGTCGTCTTATGTACCAGTCCGATGACTCAGGTACTGAAAACCCACACCGTGTCGAGGTCGATCCGATAGACGAAGTAGAAGAGCATGGAGAACCTATTCCAGGATTAGAGGGTGGTAGCAGGAGACAGGTCCCGGCTACATAGTGGGGGCACAGCCGCACAAGCACCGTCTCATGTCCGCAGCCGAGCACGACCCTACATGCCGACTTCCATGCAGGAAGCAACTTTGTGGCGAACCCTACTCACGCAGATGTTCTTATCATTTATCCTATACACATTCATCATTATTCCGTTCATCAAGGTTGATCTGAGAGATACAAGCTCAAATAAAATACAAGGCGCTCATCCGAATGAAGCAGACGGGATGGCGGAGATATCAAATCCATCGTATGCTTATCTATACGGGAGAGACACGAGGCGAGGCGGCGACAAATTGTGGAAGGCGGACGGTAGCGGCGCCAAGTACGTACGCGGGGCCGATGCAGGAAGGGGGAAGGAGAAGGCGATATCCCGGGTACGTAAGCCGACGGTATCTATTCTGCTGATTGAGTCCGCGTCCGCAAGAGAGACAAAACGAGAATAGGAAACGTTGATACCGGACGACGACGCAGGGCGGAACGACCGTGGCATGCGCACCGGCCACTCATTGTGATCCGAAAGTGTTCTCGCCCGAGTAGCTGACATATAGGAAGCCGTCCTCATCCCTGTTACAGCGGGCGCCTAGGGTCAGTATCCATGCACGCGAGGGGCGGAGACCGCTACGGCAATGGAAGTGTACGCACTTGTGCTCCTCGTATATCGCACTCATCAACGCTGCTGTTGGGGGGAGGACCTCATCGACGAAGATGAAGATCGCCTTCTCTGGCGCGAGCTTGATACGCTTCCGGATCACGTACACGAACTGGCCCACCGTAAGATCCTGCATCGGGACAGTTCAGCACGCCCGCCATAGCCAAGTCACACAGGTATCCACGCACTGATGGGACGAGGTACTTCTTCTTGTCAATCGTAGGGATGTCCGTCTTGTCTGCCTTCTCGCAGATGACCTACGCCACGCGCAGCATTCCGGTCGATAAGTGAGCGGTATGCAATAGACGGGAGCTTGGACGTACAGGTATCCTGTCTGGATACTTCTGCCGGATGCGCTCAGCCTCTGCCTTACGCTTATCTGTACAGTAAAACAGCGGATGAGCGGAGATCGGACATCGACAAGTGCGCGCCACATACCAAAGGGGTGCTCATCCTTGAACTTGGACCTCATGCTGGATTACGTAGAGGAGGGTGATGGGGTACAAGTTGTGTGCGCGGAGAGGTGGTGGTGGTCAAAGACAGAGAGAGAAGCCGCAGCAGATGAGGGCGACAATGAACCTGAAGTAGTCAGGCAACGATGCGCCTCGGTCGAGGTTGGGCGCGAGCACGCGGCGTGACTCGGTAAACACGCCACAACAACGCGCAAGCTCGCCCGAAATGGATGTCTCTCCACGGCACCGCGCCGGGTCCTCGTTAGCAGCACTCGCCGTACTACCATCTGGGAACGCGGTGTCTACAGCTGCGGCCCAGTCACTCGTGCCATCGAAGGAGGACTTATGTGGAACACTTGGGTCCGTAGAGACACGGCAATTACTCATACCGACGCCTCCTTGAATGTACGCCTGCCTTCTGAGTCGGTCTCGACACCGCCGCCTTCACACCGTGACAGCTCATGAGAAGGCTGGCTGCACAAAGACAGGAAAGCCGATGGGTAGACGCATGTCCGGATAGTGTTTCGTGCCAGAAATGCGTGGGCCGATTAAGCAGTATATGATACAACGACATACATGTCTGTCATGGTAGGGTAAGAGAACCGCTGAAAACCGCCTCTAAAGGCTGAGAGGAAATGGGAGCGTGAGTCTAGTTGAGAGTCTTCCCAAGACGAGCCAGGTGGTAGTTGATAGTCGGCTTGTGTTTTCTTGTCGGGGCAGGCTTCACAGATGCTGAGTTGATGCTCTAGATCCTGCTGATACAGAAAGGTT